ACGATGGCATGCTGAAACCCATGGAGGCTTGGAGAAGGGAATAACAACTGTACAACACTGCTGGCACTGCATTCTGAAACCCATGGAGGCTTGGAGAAGGGAATAACAACTGTACAACACTGCTGGCAATACATTTTGAAACTCATGGCGGCTTGGAGAAGGGAATAACAACTGTACAACTCTGCTGGCACTGCATTCTGAAACCCATGGAGGCTTGGAGAAGGGAATAATAACTGTACAACACTGCTGACACTGCATTTTGAAACCCATGGAGGCTTGAAGAAGGGAATAACAACTGTAGAACAATGCTGGCACTGCATTTTGAAACCCATGGAGGCTTAAGAAGGGAATAACAACTGTACAACACTGCTGACACTGCATTTTGAAACCCATGGAGGCTTGGAGAAGGGAATAACAACTGTACAACAATGCTGGCACTGCATTCTGAAACCCATGGAGGCTTGGAGAAGGGAATAACAACTGTACAACACTGCTGGCACTGCATTGTGAGATCATGTTGGCAGAGGTCTCTGATAAACTCAATCCAACAGACATAGCCTTTCTCAGGCTCAGATGACAGGAACGGCAACACAATCCACCGAAGAGTTCAAACACAACCTGCTCTTGTACAAGTCTTCTTTTTTTTCTTCCTTGTGTTTACCAGCTGTAAACTCCGGTAGAAAGTTCGGGTTGTCTGGCCCCTTTTGGACTTTGGTCTTGTTCCATAAATTTAGGTTTGCATGCACATCCATAATAAGTTATCTTGTATGACATACTTGTTACTGGGCAGTGAATCTATCCCCCCCCCCCCCCCCTGAGCAAACTCCTGTTTGAGTAAATGCACTAACTCCTGTCATCCAAGAAAGAAAACATGCTTCCAGTGGTACTTTCATGGGACTGAATGAGTGAACGCAAGAAGCAAGACAGACTACTTCAGATACAATAAATAAATGAACATTCTACAGATTCTAATAGAGATATTCAGTGAACTCGTTATACCTTGGTCAGCACAGTCACACAGTAAATACATGAGGCTGACAGTGTACAAAGTGTCAAAGCAAACTCCAACAACAGTGCCCGGTCTGGACACAAGAATATTAGCCTCTGGCTGTGCCATGGCAGAGACGGAATCATGACATCCACACTCCTTCTCATATACATTTAAATAACCAGCGCTTCCTGAAGACATAAACAGTCCCCTGTATGCAGATGACACGGCTGAGGATGACAAGCTACAAGACTACTGTAGCTGACAACCTTGCCTACAGCCAAGTCTCACAAAGGGGGGAAACAAGAAATGGCTGCCTTCAGCAAGTGACATGGTCAACCCAGCTGGTTTCCATATCCCTGTGCTTTACTGGGGAGCATGGTGCTTGCTCTTGGTGCTACTGGTATACATCAGAGTGGGTTTGTTACAGTACACATGAGGGTGGGTGTGTTACAGGTGCTCATAAGGGCGGGTGTGCTACATGTACTCATCAGGGTGGATGTGCAACATGTACACATCAGGGCAGGTGTGCTACATGTACACATCAGGGTGGGTGTGCTACATGTACACATCAGGATGGGTATGCTATATGCACACATCAGGGTGGGTGTGCTACATGTACACATCAGGGTGGGTGTGCTAAATGTACACATCAGGGTGGGTGTGCTGCACTTACACATCCGGGTGGGTGTGCTACATGTACACATCAGGGTGGGTGTGCTACATGTACACATCAGGGTGGGTGTGCTACATGTACACATCAGGGTGGGTGTGCTACATGTACACATCAGGGTGGGTGTGCTACATGTACACATCAGGGTGGGTGTGCTACATGTACACATCAGGGTGGGTTTGCTATATGTACACATCAGGGTGGGTGTGCTACATGTACACATCAAGGTGGGTGTGCTACTTACACATCTGGGTGGGTATGCTACACGTACACATCAGGGTGGGTGTGCTACACTTACACATCCAGGTGGGTGTGCTACATGTACACATCAGGGTGGGTGTGCTACATGTACACATCAGGACAGGTGTGCTACATGTACACATCAGGGTGGGTGTGCTACATGTACACATCAGGGTGGGCATCCACACACACACACACACACACACACATATCGTGTGCTGTAATGTACAGCAAGAAGCGCATCTGTGAAGCCTCAAACACATTCTATGCTTGTTTACTAAATTCCCATAATTCACAGATTGATTCTATGTAACACACATACATTCTTTGGTCCTCCCCGTCCACCCTTCAACCCCCCCCCCCCCCCCTTTCCATCTCTAATCACACTGATTTGTTGTACACAACGTTTCTACACTTTTAAGAAATGCAATTTGTGCATGTCCTACCATGATCCTTATCTCTGTGAGTCATCTTCCTTCTGATGTTATCCATTTGCCCAGATAATTAAATATTTGTATAAATAACTCAGAAATTCTTCACTTCTCCATGTTCGCTAGCTGTCAACACCTGGAAGAAAGTTCTTGTTGTTTATTCTCTTTGACTTTAAAGGAAACACTTTATCAGTCAACTCTGAGGACATATTTGTTAGGGCTGCAGAGGGTCTATTCTTGACTTTACCCCAAAGAACCCACAAGGATAACTCTAAAATTCAAATACTAGACTTCAATTTTACATTTAGTTCATCATCATCATCATCCCATAACACTACATGTCGTTGGATCACTAGTTTCTGTTGACTGCTGATAGTGGTCAGTTGCGATGGACTTTATGTTTGCATGCCTGAGGCCTGTCCAGTCAGTCAGGTTCTGTAACCAGGTCTTTCATTGTCTCCCTCTTCTCCTCTTTCCCTCTGCTGAGCCCTTCAGTATTGTTTTTGAGAGGCCATAAGATCTTATTACATTTCCATACCACTGCATTTTGCCTCTTTTCACTGTAGTTAAAAGAGGTTCACAGTTGCCAATGTGCTGTATAATTTTATGGCGAACCTCTTCATGTGTAATGTGGTCTATGTATGATATGCCAAGAATTTTTCTGAAACATTGCATTTCTAATGCTTTTATCTTTCTTTCAAATTCAGCTGTTAAGGTCCACGTTTCACAGCCATATGTAAATGTACTAATAGCTAGTGCTCTTAGCAATCGAATCTTAGTTTTGCATTAAATGTTTTTGGATCTCCATAATGTTTGCTGCTTGGCAAGGACTGATGTTGTCTGGGCAATCCTAGATTTCTGGTCTTGAGCCCAAGTCACTTAAAATAGATCCTAAATATTTGAAATGAGTCATTTGTTCTAATTTGTGACCTTTAACATAGATTGGTGAAATACTGAAAGCTGGATTCTTAGTTATTACTTCTGTGTGTTTTTTCTGTGTTTATTTCCATGCCATACTTGGTTGATGTTTCATCAAGCAGATTTACAAGCTCGACTAGCTCTAACATTTAGTTAGTTGCGTGTTTTTTTTAATTAAAATCTGGCAGAACCAATTGACATTTGTTCGTTTGTTTGTGACTTTATTAGGCAGGTGTTTAGTTCATTACAGGTGTGATTCATTTCTTTCACATTACTATTTCTTCTGTGTTTGTATTGTTTTCATTTGTATCAATCTGTGTATCTGCCATTTTCCGTGACCCTGGAACAACTTGTAAAGAGATTATTTTCTCAACATTGCATTTAAAAAACTAATCAGGGGGACATGAATTGGCTGAGTGGGAGGGCCTGACATGGGTTGATGATTGGGTGGGGGGGGGGGGGGGGTGACTATGTGCCAGTGGGGGGGGGGGGGAGGCTGACATGGGTTGATTGGGAGTATGTGTGCCAGTGGGGGGCTGACATGGGTTGATTGGGAGTATGTGTGGGGGGAGGAGGAGGGGCCAGTTGATTGGGGGGGGGGGGGGGGGCTGACATGGGTTGATTGGGAGTATGTGCCAGTGGGAGGGCCTGACATGGGTTGATTGGGAGTATGTGCCAGTGGGGGGGGGGGGGGGGCTGACATGGGTTGATTGGGAGTATGTGCCAGTGGTGGGGGGGGGGGGGCTGACATGGGTTGATTGGGAGTATGTGCCAGTGGGAGGAGCCTGACATGGGTTGACTGGGAGTATATGCCAGTGGGGGAAGGGCCTGACATGGGTTGACTATGTGTCTGGGAGGATGCCATGGGTTGATTGGGAGTATGTGCCAGTGGGAGGGCCTGACATGGGTTGATTGGAAGTATGTGCCAGTGGGAGGGCCTGACATGGGTTGACTGGGAGTCTATGTGCCAGTGGGGGGTGGGGGTCTAGGGCAGATCAGGATAGCACTGGGTTCAGTGAACCCTGTCAAAAATTAGAATCAGATAATGAGAAGCTAGTGAAGAAGGTGATCCAAAAGTAAATAAGATCTTATCACAGCCACAAGATGACTACACTAGACTACACACAGAGTTCAAGTTAGCACAGAACAGATATCAGACCAGGGTACAATGAACAGGTCAAGTACTGTTGTGGCAGCTTCAATTCAAAATCACTAATATCTGTTTTAACAGTTCCGCACTTGCTGGCTAAAGCCAGTGCTTAGTCTTTCACATCAGATAGTTCAGACATTAGATGTAAGAACAGGTAACTGCTAGCAGGTCAATGTGCTCTCATGTAATAAGACATTTTCAACTAAAAAATCAATATTCTCGCTATATGTTGGGTAACTTATTAAACAAAATTCAGTTTGACAGTATTTCCCAGAAATTTTCAATGACTACATGCTTGGCCTTTATATTTCTGATAATAGCTAGCTGTGTCTGTTTACAGGAGGAGCTGAGTTCATTGTTTGTTTATTTTATATCTATAGTGAAATGCGTGTGTCCCTGTCGAAGTCCTGGTGTCAACCCGCGCGGACACACCCACTACAGCGGCCATAATCCCAGCCGTGTCACTGGGCTGCAACGCTTAAAACAGTCTCATACAGCTCAAGGCAACTACCGTTAAACGTAACCTTTTTTTTTAACATGCAGTAACAAAGCACATGTACAGTCAGTGTTGCAGACAACAAACATGAACAAGGTACATACCAGGTAAAGGACCGTGTCAACGACATCCTTGTTTGACGCCTGCTCCAGCTCGATTAGTCCGATCAACAATCCGAATTTCAGTTCATCGTTCCCTTTCAATTTTAAAATCCCTTCCACGGTTTTAACATCGCCGTTGGCTTCCTCGCCAGTCTCTGACATGTTGAGTCTAACACAATAAAATGTTGCAAGAAGAATAACGACAGAAAGTCGACACACGGGAGCGGACAGTTAGACTGTCATGATATTTGCTCTCACCAACAATTCGCCGACACATTCGACTGCGAGATTGCTTCCGTGTTTCCGCAACCTAGAAACATCTCACATTCTATTGGTCAATAATCAAAGTAAGCTTTTACTTTTAGTTTTCAAACTGGAACTTTCAACTTCTTTTCATAGAAAACAACAAAAAATATTTATTTAATTATTTACTAAAAGCAAAAAAATTTTAAATAACAAATATTATAACTGATTTCAACTGCACATTAAATATTTTTATACAACATATACTGACATATAGGCCTATTCATACATGTTTTCACATTGTATGCTTTGAATACATACATTATGTAATAAAACACATGCATTGTTACTTAGAGCTTTCCTTATCTTAGTTATTGCATTACTGCCATAGATTAGACTATTGATATTAGTTTTTGCCGTCTGTTACCGCGTCCTTACTTTCAGGAACTTCAACAGAATTGAGAACAATTTAACTGTTACAAATTATAAGCCATAACAAATAATTTCCAGAACTGTTTAGAATATCAGTATATACTCCATCTTTCATATTCTTATTTTAGTAATCCAGGGTGTTCAACTAAAACGACAAAATCACAGCAGTGTGTTAGAAAACCTCTCGTGAGTGAGTATCCCTTTGGAGAAGCTCTGGTGCCGCCCCCTAACCCAGTCCACAGATGTGACTGTCTGGAGTTCTGACGTCGGCAGACCAGTCAGCAGTTGCAACACGTGTTTTCTTCTACGAGCGGGCCGGCGCCGTTTGACGTGGCTGTTTTTGAATGCTTATCACACGCGACTGGGGTTCCCCTCAGCATATCCATCAGACATGTATTTCATCATTGCAAAATACTATTAATTTATGGCACTTATTTTTTTTTTTTAAAGTTGTAAATATGCAGCTAATGCTTGCTAGAATATATATGTCGTTCTGGCAGTCCCATGTCTGGTCACCTAGTTATAGTGTGTAATGTCAGGCATTAAATATTCTACGAGGAGCCTGCTGGCAGTGGTGAAGTAAAGTCAGGGGTCACCTGTTGGGAAGAATTCCCGTCAACGACCCCCCCCCCCCCCCCCCTTTCCCTTTCTCCTACTTCTACCCTAACCCCCGAATTTGTTTGTTTTAAAAAGAAATTGTTGCTATATTGCGGGGCGGTCGTCATTTCTTTTTCCTACGTCACTATCTGTTGGTCATACTTTTGGGGAGCTTTGCTCTTGCAACCAGGCGCTATCATCATGAGAAAGCTATGGGTCGTAGACTGTGAACCAGTGCAGGTAGCAGTGTTTCAATTGTTTCATCTGTCGGATTAATCAATGATTTCCAACTGGGAAGGCGGCCCTCGGGTCCACGGAACACATTTTTTGGGGTCTGTGATATTGTTTACGTAATCAAAGGCTACTTTGGAACTGGCTTAGGCCAAGAGTTTCTCAGGAGCTGGTTTAGGCAGAGTTCATCAGGAGCTGGTTTAGGCCAAGAGTTCATCAGGAGCTGGTTTAGGCCAAGAGTTTATCATTAGCTGGTTTAGGCAGAGTTCATCAGGAGCTGGTTTAGACAGAGTTTATCAGGAGCTGGTTTAGGCAGAGTTTATCAGGAGCTGGTTTAGACAAAGAGTTCATCAGGAGCTGGTTTAGACAAAGAGTTCATCAGGAGCTGGTTTAGGCAGAGTTTATCAGGAGCTGGTTTAGGCAGAGTTCACCAGGAGCTGGTTTAGACAAAGAGTTCATCAGGAGCTGGTTTAGACAGAGTTCATCAGGAGCTGGTTTAGACAAAGAGTTTATCAGGAGCTGGTTTAGGCAGAGTTTATCTGGAGCTGGTTTAGGCAGAGTTCACCAGGAGCTGGTTTAGACAAAGAGTTCATCAGGAGCTGGTTTAGACAGAGTTCATCAGGAGCTGGTTTAGACAAAGAGTTTATCAGGAGCTGGTTTAGACAGAGTTCATCAGGAGCTGGTTTAGACAGAGTTTATCAGGAGCTGGTTTAGACAGAGTTCATCAGGAGCTGGTTTAGACAAAGAGTTCATCAGGAGCTGGTTTAGGCAGAGTTCATCAGGAGCTGGTTTAGGCCAAGAGTTTATCAGGAGCTGGTTTAGGCCAAGAGTTTATCAGGAGCTGGTTTAGGCCAAGAGTTTATCAGGAGCTGGTTTAGGCCAAGAGTTTATCAGGAGCTGGTTTAGGCCAAGAGTTCATCCGGAGCTGGTTTAGGCCAAGAGTTTATCAGGAGCTGGTTTAAGCCAAGAGTTTATCAGGAGCTGGTTTAAACAAAGAGTTCCTCGGGAGCTGGTTTAGGCCAAGAGTTTATCAGGAGCTGGTTTAGGCCAAGAGTTTATCAGGAGCTGGTTTAGGCCACGAGTTTATCACGAGCTGGTTTAGGCCAAGAGTTTATCAGGAGCTGGTTTAGGCCAAGAGTTCATCAGAAGATGGTTGAACATAGGTATCTGTTTTTCCCTTTCTTTAGAATACAGCAATACAAACAACAGCAGCACCCACCAACCGACATTGCGATTCTAATATAGATTTACTCTGTCTTTTTTTTTTTTCTTCTTTAACAAATGGTAATTTAAAAGTTACCGAGTCCGTGGCAGACTTTTCACAAGAGAGGTCGACGAGTCTTGTCTAATTGAAAATTGCTGCTCTAATCCATATTTCTTTCATCTACTTGCTAATGGCGGCCGAGGGAAGGGGGAGGGGGTGGCTTCCGTTTTATAGTGGCTGGACGCTCCGAAGATCATGGGTTGGAGTCAAAACGGAGCTGTACTTTATTTTAAAAAATACCTTGGTCCTGAGGTCGACCCAACCGTAAGTGGGTACGTCCGAAGTAAATCAGTCAAACGACATAAATATGGGAACTCGACATCTAAATCAGTCCAATTTGGTTGATTAGATTTACCAACTAATGTCCTCATTTCTCTGTAAATGTTTCCAGTGTTTTCTTTAACTGCTACCGCCACCTGTTGGCCTCCAGGTTAGGGATTGTAGAACTGGGTAGAAGGCCGCGCCTGTGTAAAACAGACATAGGCCGGACGGATGAAGCCGGTCAGCTGTGGACAGTAGTTTAACTAGGAGAAGGAACTCTGATTAAAAAGTGTCATTGTCCAGTGGTTAGGTCTTAGTCGACCATAACTAAAGAAGCTCACCCTAATAGAAAAGCAATAGCAACAGTCTTCAGTAGCCATCTCCTTTTAACCACTTGCTAGCAGTCTTCAGTAGTCATCTCCTTTTAACCCCTTGCCAACAGTCTTCAGTAATTATCTCCTTTTAACCACTTGCCAGCAATCTTCAGTAGTCATCTCCTTTTAACCCCTTGCCAACAGTCTTCAGTAATTATCCCCTTTTAACCACTTGCCAGCAGTCTTCAGTAGTCATCTCCTTTTAACCCCTTGCCAACAGTCTTCAGTAATTATCTCCTTTTAACCACTTGCCAGCAGTCTTCAGTAGTCATCTCCTTTTAACCCCTTGCCAACAGCCTTCAGTAATTATCTCCTTTTAACCACTTGTCAGCAGTCTTCAGTAGTCATCTCCTTTTAACCCCTTGCCAACAATCTTCAGTAATTATCTCCTTTTAGCCCCTTGCCAGCAGTCTTCAGTAATGATCTCATCTACTAACTGTTGCAGGGCCTGATACGTTGACTGTAAAGTGTGCCCTCTAGCCTTCATGCATCCACACATCGCCTTCTCTAAGTGCCAATTTATGCTTGTGAATGTATTGCTCACGATATTAAAATTATATCTGAACCTTGTAAAAATGCTTCTACAAAGATTTCACACACACTTGAATGAGGGTCAAAGGCTGAAGAGGGGAAATCATGGATGGCTCAAGCAGAAGACACAATAAGACATGTGTTCATGCTGGAGAACATTGTGCGAGGAGAGGAGTGGCTCAGCGTATCGGAGGAAAAGTCTGACCTGTGTAGGGTTATGATCACATTGGGTCGGGAGTGCAGAGAGTGGCCAACTGGTGCTACGGAGGATGAAGTCCAACAGTTGATTCACGACAATTCACGCCCAGGTGATCTGATTATCTATACAGATGGTTCGGTGCTGAGAGGAAAGAGAAGTACCTGGGGGTTTGTAGCGAAAGCCAATGGAAAATCTTTGGTGCAAGATAGCCTAGCTTACGACACCACAACGTCTAGTATGAGAATGTAGGTGGAGGCTGTAACTGCAGCTCTCCGGTGGCTAGACAACAAAATGCATACACATGTCGTAATTGTAACAGTCTCTGAAAGTATGCTGAGAAAGGTGAAGACAGGGATGCTTTGAACAGAGTGGACAAGCTTCACTGGAAAGATCACGGGTAGTGAGCATACTTTGGATCTTTTCTCCTGGGAATGCCGGCGTGGTGGGTAATGAACAGGCAGACAGATTGGCTGGATCTGCACCACTGGGCGGTGAACTGATGCATGACAGGGCAGATGTTGTCAAGACCCTTTGGGGTCAAGTAATGGAATCAGTAGAGAAACAAGATTATTATGGCCTTGGAGAGAATGAGGCACCTGGGTGTAACCAGGGTCTGGCCGATCGCTACACTCAGAGGAAAGGTGAGACGGACATATAAACAGATTGTGACCGGTACCATCAGTATTGGAACTCTGCGCTGGTTGCTGAAGATGCGGACGGAGCACGCATGGGAATGCCCCGAGTGCTGTGATATCAATTTTCGTTTTAACTAACTTGAATGAGATAAAGCACACAATTTCAATTTTGAAACGGTAGATCTCTTATGTGAGAGTTTAGAAAAAGCCTCCGTGTACTTCCTGATATTTTATCTGCTGTTGTTGGGGGATCGGTTGACGGACGATCTTTTATCTGGGATTTGATTTTATACCTGTAAAATATTTGGTTTTAACATGTCGTCAGTGGTTGTAGAAAGGGTAAGTAAATCGTTCATGTTCTTGCTGTAGTAATCGATGGGTTCACACTAGCTAGGGGGTGGATGCTGACGAGATGGAGATGGCACCACTGTGACATCTGTAGCACTGGAGCAAGGAGTGATGTAATCAGTGGACGAAATAACGAGGAAAACGTTTTATTTAATTTAATTAGATATATATATATTTAACAATACTAATAGTGATCACTTATCCTCATTGGAAAGGAAGACACTCACATACATATATTGACTTGTTTGTGAACGAGATCACATTCTAGTACTCAAGACCAACTTAGCAACTATACTATTAGTATTCGTGTAATTCATCCTGGCAAACTGTTCACTCAATAATTCATTTATCTAAATTATTTGTTTGCTTGTCTGAATCATCAGTCACATAATTCACGACTTAAGTAAGCTGACTCTTAGCTGTACTGTAAAAAAAAAAAAAAAAAAAAAACTACTCAAAGACTTAGTAAGGCGTATCAAGACCGTAGCACGTTAGTATTGATTATTAATATATACATTTAATAACAGTAACAGGCTTTTCATTATCTAGATTGCATCTTTGCTTGGTCGGTCTGCTCTTCACCTAATCAAATTCTGTCACACCTCTTTTGATGAAATGACCACCCATTTTTTTTTAAGTGTATTTATTTAGTTTGTTAAATATTTTAAAAAATAATTGTATTGACTGTTTTCTCTTCTCTTGGGGTAGTATTTAAATATTGGTGGATCCTGTTCGTACACAACCAGTAGCTCTAATGTTTACAGTATTTTATTTCTTCTTCTTCTTCTTTTGTCAAAATCTGCTTGTGCCGCTAGGTGTCGCAGTCTATCAGATGATCGGCAACCGAGCCAGGGCGCGCTCAGTCGCTTCATATGACGTGATGTTATGAAGTCTCAAGTTGTCCGTGACTCCTTCAATCCATCTTCTTCTTGGTCTTCCCCTGCCTCTTGGTGTTTCGATTTTCATGTTGTATGCTCTTGATGCTGGCCTCATTAGGTGACCAAACCATTTCATTCTTTGCTTCTCAATAAATTTAACGATGGGCATGGTTCCAATAGTTCTTGTAATCACATCGTTTCTCACTCGATCTCTTCTGGTTTTATTCGCAGCCATTCTCAAACATCTCATTTCACAGGTGGTAAGTCTTCTCTCGTGTTCTTTTGTTAATGTCCAAGTCTGACATTGATAACCTAATGTCGGTATTTTATTTGGGTACTCCTAATTACTACAGTGTCCATTATTTTTACAGATCTCTTAAGTTTCAATTGTCAGTATTGCGTCATAATTCCTACTGGCCCTTATGAATGATGCATTATGATTGCTATGTGTGTTCCTGGTATGTTTCATATCTCACTTAAAGAGGGGTGGAAATGCTTATTTTGAAATATGTAACGAATTTCATTGCTAGGTAACTAAGTGGGAGTCGCTGTGGTAGAGCGGAAGGTAGTGGGTTTGCTCCCTAGAGGAGCTGGACTTTTTTCAAAAATGACCTTGGCTCCCAGGTCGACCCAGTCCTGAGTGGGTACTGGGTGCAGTCCTGGGAACTAGAGGTGGCTGGCGTGATGCTGACCACATCACCCTTCTTGTGCCGATTGGTCTATGAAATAGAGGTCTAAGGCTATACCTCTCACGGCAATGAAAAGGGCCCTAAGGCGACCGAGTAGATCATTTTCTGAGAGAGACAGAGCATCCAAGGTTTTTCCTCAAATGTTTATATATTGTCAAGTACACATTGTTTTTACTGAAAGATTTGCTGCCTGCCTTAAGCTCCCATGCCTTCTCTCATCAACCTTGCAACCAGGGTTGTTCTTGTCCTTGTCTGCTGTACAGCTTTGAACTAATGTGTTTTCATGTTTGAACATGTCCTCCATTGCAGTCACCAGCCCAGCTGATACACAGCATGGTTCGCTCTTTGAATCTCACAGGACATGTAGGCTTTGACAGCCTCCCTGATCAGCTAGTCAACAAATCTGTAGCCCAGGGCTTTTGCTTCAACATCCTGTGTGTTGGTGAGTGCAGTTGATTCTCACAGCATGTTTTCTGTATTTTTTGTTTTTAAAGAAATAGAATTAAAAGTAAGAGAATGAACTTAATTGCAGCTGTTTTCTCTTGTCTGGTTCAGTCTCTTTCTGCAAATAGCTGCGTGACTGCGGCACAGTCTCAGATCGAGGAAGTACAAGGATGTGCACACTTTGAAAATCAGAAGTTGAATAACCTCGGTCTGATTACCAGTCAGATGCCCTCATTTTAACTGACATTTCAAAGCCGAGTCAGACAGCTGTGGACATACTCTGGGTCAGCTGATGACCAGTGTCCTCTTATATCAACAACAACAGTTATACTTTGTGTGGGCTTTTATCTAGCAAATATTTGTAAAGTGGCACAGTGCAGACAGCTGGTAGATCACAAACTCCCCCCACCCGAGATGATTTGGATTTGTGAGATTGGTTACTACAGTACTGGTTACTGCAGTACTGGTTACTGCTTGACATATTTTACTGCTCTATTTGTTAATGTTCTTCTTTATCCAGGTGAAACTGGAATTGGTAAATCCACCATGATGGATACCCTGTTCAACACCAACTTTGACTCAACGCCCAGTACACATGACCTGCCCGGGGTGAAGCTCAAAGCCCACACATATGGTACGCAGGCTTTGAATTGTATGTGTCGTTACATTGTTGTGTGTGTAATTACATTTGTGTATGTATACTGACATTATTGTCTGTATACATGTATTCTAAAAGAAACTTTGACTCCCAGTACCTGTGACCTGCCAGGGATGAATTTTCAAGCATGCACACATTGGAATTGTTGTATGTATGCTTACATATGTGTGTGCTTACATTGTTCTACATATATACTGATATTGTTGTGTGTGTATTTAAATTATTCTGCATGATAATGATATTGTTGTATGTATGTTTAAATTGTTCTACATATATAATGATATAATTTTAAAATAAAATATATATAATGATATTGTTGTATGTGTATTTAAACTGTTCTACTTATATAATGATATAATTTTAAAATAAATATATATAATGATATTGTTGTTATACAATGCATATAAATGATATCGTTGTGAAACTAACTGGTTCAAGTGTTCCCTTTTCTGCCCATTGTTCCCCTTTGAAGCATTAACTCTCTCCAGCTGCTCCACCCACGTCCTCTCTATATTTGTTATCTCTGTCTTTACTTGTCTACTTCTTGTGTCTTTGGCTTTGTGAGTTACAGCTACAGAACATTCTAGTGACACAGAGTCATCAGATGTTTTCAGTGTGTATCTTATCCAGTAGCAAGGTAACTTCCCCATATCTTTTTTGTGTGTGCTAATGTTCTGTTGACTTAATACAGCAAAACCGTGTTAAAACACACAAACCAGGGACTTGAAACAAGAATACATCCCTTCTGGGACCTCCATGTTGTTTATGTTTACCATGGGTTTTTCTTAAGCCGGTTCATGTTGATGAGGTTTTACCATATCAAATAAACACGGCATAAATAGTCAAGCATTCATAGTTGATTGATTATAGGTTTAGTCCTATGTGCCCAGTACATTTGAAGACATATAAAAGTATCTTTTACCTTTTTACCTGTGTGCCCAGTACATCAGAAGACAGAAAAGTATCTTTTACCTTTGTACCTGTGTGCCCAGTACATCTGAAGACATAGAACAAGTATCTTTTACCTTTGTACCTGTGTGCCCAGTACATCTGAAGTCATTGAAAAGTATCTTTTACCTTTGTACCTGTGTGCCCAGTACATCTGAAGACAGAAAAGTATCTTTTACCTTTGCACCTGTGTGCCCAGTACATCTGAAGACATAGAAAAGTATCTTTTAACTTTGTACCTGTGTGCCCAGTACATCTGAAGTCATAGAAAAGTATCTTTTACCTTTGTACCTGTGTGCCCAGTACATCTGAAGGTGTGGAAAAGTATCTTTTACCTTTGTACCTGTGTGCCCAGTACATCTGAAGACATAGAAAAGTATCTTTTACCTGTGTACCTATATGCCCAATACACCTGAAGGTGTGGAAAAAGTCCTTTACTTTACCTATTCATAGCATGTTTAGAGGTAGAAAACAATTGATGGTTGAGCCCCATATTTTTCAGAGCTTCGGGAAAAGAATGTTCTCCTAAAACTGACCTTGGTGGACACAGTCGGATTTGGAGATCAAATTAACAAGGAAGACAGGTGCATTTCTGTGTGTGTTAGACATTGATATTCTCATTCTCTTCCTCAGTATTCATCATCATCATGTGCCATGCTGGCTGGTGCAGGTTATCATGTGCTCTCTGGATTTAGAGATGAAGTTCCCAGTGTGGGTACCGGGCCCCATGTGGTTACTGGGGCCCCTTGGGGGAGGAAAACAAGAATACATTCACTGCCCTATAACAAACAGGTTGCACAAGGTGACTGATTAGGGGTGTTTCCTTTGAAGTTGGACATTCATCTGCCTGAGAGGCATAGGAACCAACAGTCTACATACAAATGAGGCTAATCTGTAAAATGGATGTGCATGCACAAATCGAGTTCTGGAACAAGACCAAATTCCAAAAGTGGATGAACAACCATGACTTTCCACTGGAGTTTACAGCTGATGAAAACTAACAAGAAGCCATGAAGTTATCAAAGAAGATATTTATGTTTTCTCATCACCAGTTTCTTCTTTCTTAGTAAGTTCTGCCACAGATCTGTTTCCTGTCAGTATGATAACCCCTCCGCCCCCACCTCTTTGTTTTAAGCACCAGCCCATTGCCCTGTTCTCTACATATATGCTTCTTATCACTCAGTATTATCTGTTGTCTTATCACTCAGTGTTATCTGTTGTCTTATCACTCAGTATTATCTGTTGTCTTATCACTCAGTGTTATCTGTTGTCTTATCACTCAGTATTATCTGTTGTCTTATCACTCAGTATTATCTGTTGTCTTATCACTCAGTATTATCTGTTGTCTTATCACTCAGTATTATCTGTTGTCTTATCACTCAGTATTATCTGTTGTCTTATCACTCAGTGTTATCTGTTGTCTTATCACTCAGTATTATCTGTTGTCTTATCACTCAGTATTATCTGTTGTCTTATCACTCAGTGTTATCTGTTGTCTTATCACTCAGTATTATCTGTTGTCATAACATTCTGAATAACAGTTCTAAATATTCTTTCATGTACACTGCATAAACCTGGAGCCTAAATCTGCTTTGATAGAAGTTTGAACTTGGAACTTTTAACAGGAGGCAAGGCTCTAGCCACTGTGCCACCAAGTCTCCCCTAGTCTCTGTAGATGCCCACGTTTTGGCAGTGTCAGTTTTACTGTGACATTATTTATTCATTACTTACTAGGTTATTATGTAGAAATATTCATATCCTCTGGCGTGTTTAGCAGGGCCCCTCAGCGGAAACTAAGAAAGGCCACACTGCCCCTTCTTAGCCCCTAGCATAAGAGCTTCTTTTGCAAAAACCAGTCAGTCAGCTAAGTACATGTACGTCCTGGAGGACATGGGTCTAGTTGGCTGAGAGCCTGTTGGAGATAAGTAGAAGAAGAATCATATCAGTAACGTGACATATGGTCGCTGAACAAAGTAGAGCCCATTGGAGATAAGTAGAAGAATTATATCAGTAACGTGACATATGGTCGCTGAACAAAGTAGAGCCCATTGGAGATAAGTAGCAGAAGAATCATAACAGTAACGTGACATATGGTCGCTGAACAAAGTCTGTTGCTCTACTTTCAGCTGGAAACCAATTGTTGACTACATCGATGCCCAATTTGATGCTTTTCTGCACGAGGAGCTGAAGATCAAACGGATGCTGCACACGTACCACGACTCCCGTGTTCACGCATGTCTGTACTTCATTGCCCCGACTGGCCACTCGTAAGTTGTCATTCTTCTCTGTGATAGTCATGTTTATTATTGCTACTAGAGGTACAGGTAGTCAGTCTCACAGAAGTCACTTGAGGTGACAAGCTTCGGGTCATGGCTAGGTCCACAGTTTCTTGCTCAATAAATTCCACTTCTAGACATTTCTAGATGGTTCTGACAAAAAATCTAGTTCAGATTGAATGATATTTGATTGACCCCAGAGATACACACAAAAATAATCCTACCTTGGCGGTTCATGTGATGTGTGGCGTTGGAGAAGATCATTACAGGAAAGATTAAAGAAACAAACTTAATTTTCAGAGGGTAACAAATTGGGCACGCGAGCTCGTCTTACATTGGGCCCTTTCAGAACCCATCTTTCATACAGCAGTTGTGTTTTATCAGTAAAGCATGTTATGTTCTTATAACAATATGTTTATTATGAACCTCAAGAGAAAACATGAAAGCATGGATGGTAAAATGCATGCACACCCACTCAAGCTCTCTGTCCTCACTCACTGACGTATGCACATACATAATACACACACACATACATGCACACATACACGCACACATATATATGCACACATACATGCACACACCCATCCACTCAAGCTCTCTGTCCTCACTCACTGACGTATGTACATACATAATGCACACATACATGCACACATACACATGTACACATACATGCACACAGAGAGTGGCAGGTAGAGGTAGATGATGCTGGGTGTTCTGAAACATCAGAACTAGAACTGATCCAAAACATCAGGCACTGGATTCTGGGCTGAGATGTGATTGTCTGTGCCATCTGACTGGCTGATGGTGATTGTAATAAACTACTTAGTTAGCTCAGTGCTCACATAATTCTCCACGTACACAGATGAGAAAAATAAGAACTCAAAAGTGGTCAAAAAAAAGGTCATCGCACCCAGCTGCTCTAGTTTATGGATGATGAAGTTTTTTTTTCCTCAGTTGGTGTCAGTTGAGTTACACATGTCTAGGAAATTATTAACATTATCAGATTAAAGAAGCAGACGCAGTACTGTGATCAGAAGTATCTTTGCGAGTGACTCCTTCATTAAGTTGTCAACCCACATAGGTAGTCAAATGTGTTGTAACTTTTACGCTGCCCCAGCTCATGTAATCATTATCATTGCCATTTAGGGCTGTCTCCGCCTTTAAAGTCAACTCCAGTACGTTCTGTCCAGTGTCTTTGTGGTGCATTCAAAAAGGCTTTTTATCAGTATGTCTCCTAATGTTATCCACCTGTTTGTCACATTGTCCTCCGCCTGCAAGTGCCCCTTTCTCTCCAGCACATCCTTTAAAAAGGTTACTGCATCTCCTAATGTTGTCCACCTGTTTGTCACATTGTCCTCCGCCTGCAAGTGCCCCTTTCTCCCCCACACATCCTTTAAGAAGGTTAATGCATCTCTTAATGGAGCCATTACTGAATTATCTGACCTTGAGAGTGTTTTCCCCATTCCCATTTATGCCTCTGTTTTTCTCATCTCACAGTATTTTTTTCTGTCTATTTAAACTAACATTTAGCTAGCCCATATGGTCAAAAATGTCATTCATATCAAACTAAAATATAGCTAGTCCATATGGTCAAAAATGTGTTTCATATCAAACTAAAATATAGCTAGTCCATATGGTCAAAAATGTGATTCATATCACACTAAATATAGCTAGTCCATATGGTCAAAAATGTGATTCATATCAAACTAAAATATAGCTAGTCCATATGGTCAGAAATGTGATTCATATCAAACTAAAATATAGCTAGTCCATATGGTCAGAAATGTGATTCATATCACACTAAAATATAGCTAGTCCATATGGTCAGAAATGTGATGTATATCAAACTAAAATATAGCTAGTCCATGTGGTCAGAAATGTGATTCATATCACACTAACAGACTTTGCAGAAGAATTCCTTGTACTCATTATAGTCCAGGTGGGCACAGATCCATTAAGAATATAATGCTTACCTCTGTGCTTCTGTGTCATGAACAAACGTTTGATTGTTTGAGCAGGTTGAAGGCTCTGGACCTGGTGACCATGAAGAAACTGGACACCAAGGTCAACATCATCCCAGTCATTGCCAAGTCTGACACCATCACCAAGACCGAACTGAGCAAGTTCAAGGCCAAGGTTTGTGTTGAGTCTCTTGTCTTGTAGATGTTAGGCTGCTTCAGAACTGTGGGCTTGTGAGAGACTGAGAGGTTTGCCTGAGGACTCAACAAGTTATATCCGAGCATTGTTGTGAGTGCTTCTCATGTTGAAACCAGACACATTATAAAGTTGAGAGAAACAGATGCAAGGAAATGCGAAGGAAACTGTATAGTAAATATTATAATGTGACATCATCATCATCATCACCACATAACAGATCTATTTTAGAATGTCACAGTCAGCACTGCTCACTGATCTGGGTAACGAAGCAGCTGCTGACTCGAGCGACTCTGAATCTGTTGCACTTCACCTGCCTCATGTTGCACTTAACCTGTCTCATCTTGCACTTCCCCCTGTCTCATCCTGTACTACCCCTGTCTCATCTTGCACTTCACCTGTCTCATCTTGCACTTCCCCTGTCTCATCTTGCACTTCCCCCTGTCTCATCTTGCACTTCCCCCTGTCTCATCTTGCACTTCCCCCTGTCTCATCTTGCACTTCCCCTGTCTCATCTTGCACTTCCCCCTGTCTCATCTTGCACTTCCCCTGTCTCATCTTGCACTTCCCCCTGTCTCATCTTGCACTTCCCCCTGTCTCATCTTGCACTTCCCCCTGTCTCGTCTTGCACTTCCCCCTGTCTCATCCTGTACTACCTCTGTCTCATCTTGCACTTTACCTGTCTCATCTTGCACTTTCCCTGTCTCATCTTGCACTTCCCCCTGTCTCATCTTGCACTTCCCCCTGTCTCATCTTGCACTCCACCTGCTTCATGCCTGTTCCTGTCCAGAGATTTCTCTAATGTCCTGTGCCTTTGTTTCACAATATTAGATGTCATATGTGTAAACTAAACTGTTACACCCGTTGTCATGTCACCATGATGTCTGGTGACAGCTGATGTGACAGTATTAGATGTCATATGTATAAACTAAACTGTTACACCCGTTGTCATGTCACCATGATGTCTGGTGACAGCTGATGTGACAGTATTAGATGTCATATGTATAAACTAAACTGTTACACCCGTTGTCATGTCACCATGATGTTGTCTCTGGTGACAGCTGATGTCAGAGCTTGTGGTCAACGGAGTCCACATCTACCAGTTCCCCACCGATGACGAGACGGTTGCAGACACCAACGCTGCCATGAATGTGAGTTCAGTTTGTTGTGTCTTCTGTTTATAAAAACCTCTTTACTGACATCACAATTGTGTGTCAAAAGCTTGGTTTGGTTAGGCTTCGCCACACGGAGTTGCTACCTGGCTACCTGTGTGATCAGGTAGTCAGTTGAAAACTAAAATGTGAAATAATTCTCTTCCTCTTGGTCTTCCTCTTCTTTTCCAGCTTTCATCTCAATAAGCTTTAAACTAGCTGCTGATCAGTTGGATTTTGCATCTGCAGTTTTCTGTGAGATGAGGTAATTTGTCTCACATCAAGCCTGCTTATATAGCTCTGAGTAGTGCAATGATTTCGGGAACAGGCATGAGAGAATGTTTCAGCTGTTGTGATCTGTGAAAGGAGATAACTCGTACCTCACCTCGGGTTCCAGCAGGCTTTGTGCTGGTTGGTTTGACAGATCTTCATGCAAGACTCCTGCCACATGTCCTCTTCGTGGGCTATGGATAATTGGCTCAAATGGGCCTAAACCAAGCTACAAGACGATCTCAGAGTTGATGGCTCCCAGAGATGCAGTGTCAGAAATCATTTGGCTTTCATCAACCCGCTCCCAATGTGTTGATGATAACGTCCAGTGAAGCCTGCGAGTCAAGTATTCTACTGAAGCTCTTCTGTATATTCCTAAATGGGCCTATCTGTTCATGTTGGCTATTTGCAGAGACAATTTTGAGTTCAGTGTTTTGGGGGCAAGGGGTATGAAACAGAAGCATTGAATGATAGATATAAAATTTTTTTTTTTTTTGCATACAACTGTTTTTATTTTCTATTATTTTGTGAGCTTAAGGGTCGGATAACATACAAATTTGTTGACCAGCCTCGTTTGCCAGTATCTATTGCATGGGGGGCCATAGTTGGCTCACCCCTGTTGTTGTGTTACTCTTCCCTCATAATCTCCAGTAGTAATCCAGCTTTTTTTCCAGTATTCTTTTATTCTCCATTTTTCTAGTTTCAAAAAGCATCTGACACTAGCATTTCTTCTCTATTTTATGTTTTAAATAGTCCCTGCATGTGGTTTCCTGAAATGACAAGGATTTTTTTCTCTGAACGGTATGACAGTTGATCTTTTCTCCTAAAATGGATACCAGATAATGTAGCCACCAGACAAAAATAGGCACCAGACAAAATAGACAACAGGCCATATAGCCAACAGACAATAAAGAAACCAGACAGTATAGATGCCAGACAGTATATATTGAATGAAGAATTTCAATTCTGATGGCACCAGTAACTTATTGTATATCCGTCTCACCTTTCCTTCGGGCATTGAGAGTCGGCCAGGTCTCCCCGGTAACTCCTCGCAGTGCCATTCTCCTCAGACCGTAATGATCTATCTGTGCCTCTGCACTATTCACTCGCTTCCAAAGGGCCCTTACAACATCTAGCTTGTCATACATCAGTTCACTAAGTGGGGCAAAACTAGCCAGTCTGTCTGCACGCTCATTTGCCAGCACACCGGCATGCATGGAAAAAAATATCCAAAGGATGCTAACCGCCCGGGATCTCTGAAGTGATGTTTGCTATACAGCACGGAGCATGCCTGTCTCCACCTTTCCCAACATGCTGTGTGAGTCAGTTACAGCATGTGTGTATAGCTGATTCTCAAAACAGCGAAAGGCTCTGCCATTTATTTTGACGCTTGCACATCAGCTCTAACAATTCTGTTGTCCCAAGAACACTACAGGCCTTTTCTGGGTTGATTACATCACTCATCTCTGTACACCAGTCGATCACCTTATCTACTGTCACCTGTAACTCTTGAGCTATTTGATTATTATCTCTCCCCTGCCTGTGTGCTAGAAAGTCATCTGCAGATGTCAAAATTCTGCCAACTCCAGGAGTTTCCAAGTCCGCAATCTTGCTTGTAAAACATTGAAAAGTGCAGGTCAAATTGTAGATCCCTGGAACTTTAATACATGGTTTGGAGGTTTAAACCCAGGCAGAGAGTGGCCCGATGAGTATAGGCAGCAGACAACAAACAATATAGGCACCAGACAACAGACAATATAGGCACCAGACAACAGACAATATAGGCACCAGACAACAGACAATATAGGCACCAGACAACAGACAATATAGGCACCAGACAACAGGCAATATAGGCACCAGACAACAGACAATATAGGCACCAAACAAAACAGGCAATAAAGGCACCAGACAACAGACAATATAGGCACCAGACAGTTTTCTGAGCTATCCATTGAAGAATGAATCAAGAATTGACATCACTGCAGTCAGGACATTCCCGTACATACTCCAGGGAAGAAAGCTGGCAAGAAAAGAACTGGTCACCTCAGTTCATGATACCTACTCTAGGAGGGAAGAAAGCTGGCAAGAAAAGAACTGGTCACCTCAGTTCATGATTCCTACTCTAGGAGGGAAGAAAGCTGGCAAGAAAAGAACTGGTCACTTTAGTTCATGATTCCTGGCCTAGAACACGTGGTCTGACAACTGACAACCTGTGTGGAACCACTTTACCTGTGTGTACCCAAGTGTGGCATTGGTGTCATAAAGGGAAAATGGACCGGAGTAGACAAGGTGTCTTTTGTAATTAAGAAGTTTGACATGTGACCCAAGGACTGATGGGCTTCATGGTGAGGATGAGCCATCTATCATTAATTGTGACGATTTAATGTTTCCATAGCAACACTTGCCCTTTGCGGTGGTGGGGAGCAACGATGAGGTCAAGATTGGCAACAAGTTTGGGCATCAAATTAGACGACATTCTACAAGACAAGAACATGCAGTAAAACTGCCTCGTAAAGAGCATCATTCTCAGAAACTGATAAAACAGTTCTGACACACATGATCTTCCATACTATGATGTCAAACTGTCCAGCATCTTCTCTTTCATTTCCCCTCTGTCTGTTTTCCCCTTTAACTTTCCCATCATCACCATGTATTCCAGTTTTCCCCTTTAACTTTCCCATCATCACCATGTATTCCAGTTTTCCCCTTTAACTTTCCCATCATCACCATGTATTCCTGTTTTCCCCTTTAACTTTCCCATCATCACCATGTATTCCAGTTTTCCCCTTTAACTTTCCCATCATCACCATGTATTCCAGTTTTCCCCTTTAACTTTCCCATCATCACCATGTATTCCAGTTTTCCCCTTTAACTTTCCCATCATCACCATGTATTCCTGTTTTCTGCTTGTTGAAAAATGACCAAACACATGTCCACTCCACAGTTGAAAATGAGAATCACTGTGACTTTGTGAAGCTGCGAGAAATGTTGATTAGAACCAACATGGAGGATCTAAGGGAGGTCACTCACTCCAAGCATTATGAACTATACCGTCGCCACAAGCTGGAGGAAATGGGTTTCTCAGACTCCGAGACCAAAAGGTATATACTGGATATATGTCTTCCCAGAGTTTTCTGTGTTATTGTTATTTCCGAGAAGTGGCTGGCCGAACGGTTAGAATGCTGGGCTCGTAGATTGTCACTGTGGTTAGTTTCCCATTCGTAGATTGTCACTGTGGTTAGTTTCCCATTCGTAGATTGTCACTGTAGTTAGTTTCCCAGGCGGCCGTAGATTGTCACTCGTGGTTAGTTTCCCATTCGTAGATTGTCACCGTGGTTAGTTTCCCATTCATAGACCCCCCCACTGTGGTTAGTTTCCCATTCGTAGATTGTCACTGTGGTTAGTTTCCCATTCGTAGATTGTCACTGTGGTTAGTTACCCACAGCACTAGATTGTCACTGTGGTTAGGATCCCATTCGTAGATTGTTACACTGTGGTTAGTAAAGTCAGTCATTGCCACTGTGGTTGTTATTTTAGATTTAAACTTTTTTTCCCATTCGTAGATTGTCACTGTGGTTAGTTTCCCATTCGTAGATTGTCACTGTGGTTGGTTTTCCATTCGTAGATTGTCACTGTGGTTAGTTTCCCATTCGTAGATTGTCACTGTGGTTAGTTTCCCATTCGTATTGTCACTGTGGTTAGTTTCCCATTCGTAGATTGTCACTGTGGTTAGTTTTCCACTCGTAGATTGTCACTGTGGTTAGTTTCCCATTCGTAGATTGTCACTGTGGTTAGTTTCCCATTCGTAGATTGTCACTGTGGTTAGTTTCCCATTCGTAGATTGTCACTGTGGTTAGTTTCCCATTCGTAGATTGTCACTGTGGTTAGTTTCCCATTCGTAGATTGTCACTGTGGTTAGTTTCCCATTCGTAGATTGTCACTGTGGTTAGTTTCCCATTTGTAGATTGTCACTGTGGTTAGTTTCCCATTCGTAGATTGTCACTGTGGTTAGTTTCCCATTCGTAGATTGTCACTGTGGTTAGTTTCCCATTCGTAGATTGTCACTGTGGTTAGTTTCCCATTTGTAGATTGTCACTGTGGTTAGTTTCCCATTCGTAGATTGTCACTGTGGTTAGTTTCCCATCCGTAGATTGTCACTGTGGTTAGTTTCCCATTTGTAGATTGTCACTGTGGTTAGTTTCCCATTCGTAGATTGTCACTGTGGTTAGTTTCCCATCCGTAGATTGTCACTGTGGTTAGTTTCCCATTCGTAGATTGTCACTGTGGTTAGTTTCCCATTCGTAGATTGTCACTGTGGTTAGTTTCCCATTTGTAGATTGTCACTGTGGTTAGTTTCCCATTCGTAGATTGTCACTGGTTAGTTTCCCATCCGTAGATTGTCACTGTGGTTAGTTTCCCATTTGTAGATTGTCACTGGTTAGTTTCCCATTCGTAGATTGTCACTGTGGTTAGTTTCCCATCCGTAGATTGTCACTGTGGTTAGTTTCCCATTTGTAGATCAGTGTCCGAAGTGATCTGTGAGAACACGAGAACATAAATGTGAGCAGCGTGTGCATCAGTCATAAAAACAGAAAAAAACTTTATTTTGACTGATCAGAAATATTGTAACATTTGCTGGACTGATTTTTGTTAAGACATTTAAGGTGAGATAAATAAGCAATCTGTAATACCTGTATTTACCACTTGGGGTGTAGGGGGAAGATCGTTGGGTGGGGGGGGGGGGGGGGTGTGGTGGGTGTAAATAATCCTGAGGACTTGAGGCTGCATGGCTAGCACAGCCAACATTAACTGTGCAGGGTCAGATTTCTGTGCTGTAAACATAGTAAGTATACATTGAGTCTTTGAAAGTGAAACCCTTATGTTTTTTTTTAATTCATTGTGGCTTTTTATACTCTTGGAGATTTACAGACAAGGGTGGAACTGTCAGGGTGTCTGTGGATAAAGTCTAACTGCTAGGCACATTGTTGTCACCAACTGAGATTTGTTATTATGGCAGGCTTCAATAAAATGCAACAGTTGAGGTCCCTTTACACTCCAGTGGCGCATCGGCCATGTGAGGCTAGACGCATATTTCTAAAGACCTGTCTGCCCCCAATAGGTGATGTGGTCAACAACACGCCAGCCGCCTTTGCTTCCCAGAACTTTACCTGGTACCCATTAAAGGCTGGGTCGACCTGACCATGGTGGCTCAGATTTACAAAAGTTTTCTAGATAGATGAGTAGATTTTTAACTAGTTTCCACTTAGATGATTAGATTGAAAATGAGTTTACATGTAGATAAACAACTGAATGCAGTTGATGTATGATACCTACAGCTTGTCGGAGACGTACGAAGAGAAACGCCAGGAGCATATCCTCAGTCTACAGAAAAAGGAGGATGAGATGAGGCAGATGTTTGTCATCCGAGTCAAGGAGAAGGAAGCTGAACTCAAGGAGGCAGAGAAAGAGGTACAGATTTCATTCGTTTGTGTCAATTGGCTCTAGCAGGAAGTTGTGTCTGATTAATGAATTTATTCCCTGTCTTGATGTTAGAAACCTAAGAATGTAAGGGTATATGAAAACTCACAGACAAAACATGATGACACCAGACAAGAGAGAATCATGTGCTCAGGAAGTGCCCATTTCCGTTCAATGATGCTTATTGGGATAGGGAGCTGTAGACCATCAGCACTTGATGGATGTTATAATCAGTAACATATCAACCACCTTTACTTCCCAGATTATTTCCCATACTTTAATTATAGCTGGATCAACCTGGGAGCCTAGGCCAACGTTAACAATCTGCAGTTTTGGGGGTCCAAACCACCAGGCTGGTAGGGTAAACACACTAGCCACTAGACCACCATAGCTCCTGTTGTATACAGATCAGTGAAGCTCATATCTGTGTTTGTTGTCCAACAGTTCTAGTTGTATACAGATCAGTGAAGCTTATGTCTGTGTTTGTTGTCCAACAGTTCTAGTTGTATACAGATCAGTGAAGCTCATATCTGTGTTTGTTGTCCAACAGTTCTAGTTGTATACAGATCAGTGAAGCTTATGTCTGTGTTTGTTGTCCAACAGTTCTAGTTGTATACAGATCAGTGAAGCTTATGTCTATGTTTGTTGTCCAACATTTCTAGTTGTATACAGATCAGTGAAGCTCATGTCTGTGTTTGTTGTCCAACAGTTCTAGTTGTATACAGATCAGTGAAGCTTATGTCTGTGTTTGTTGTCCAACAGTTCCTGTTGTATACAGATCAGTGAAGCTCATGTCTGTGTTTGTTGTCCAACAGCTGTAGCTGTATACATATCAGTGAAGCTTATGTCTATGTTTGTTGTCCAACAGTTCTAGTTGTATACAGATCAGTGAAGCTTATGTCTGTGTTTGTTGTCCAACAGTTCCTGTTGTATACAGATCAGTGAAGCTCATGTCTGTGTTTGTTGTCCAACAGCTGTAGCTGTGCAGATGTTTGAAGCTCATATTTGTTGTCCAACAGCAAAGAGCAGTGCAGATGTTTAAAGCTCAAATTTGTTGTCCAACAGCTCCACAATCGCTTTGATGCACTCAAGAGGCAGCACACAGAAGAGAAGCGCAAGCTGGAGGACAGCAAGAAGAGACTGGAGGATGAGATGAACCTCTTCGCCCAGCACAAGGCCCAAGTCCAGGCCCAAGCTTCCACAATTGGCAAAAAGAAGAAATAAACTGCTGGAGGATCCGAACCCATATTCTGCAGGATTGTCATATTTCTATATCATTTTCAGCTTAGCACTGATGCAACTGTTTCTTTATGTATCTCTGTGTATCGTGGATTATCATCATATCAACATATTCTTATGTCTGGACGGTACACGTCATGACTGTTAGCTTGATCGCAAACAGACAGCTAGCAAAAACCTGGTGCTTGTTTTAAGTTCACTGACCCAGTCTCACCATTTTATTTGTGTGTGCCAGATTTTTTAACAACCAAAATATGCTGAAGAGGTATCCCACTGAAATGCTGATAGTTATGCTCTGTTTTAGTTCAAGGAAATCTTTTTTGTTGCGTAGAAATGTGAACATGTGAAAAATATTTCTGATATTTGACCCCCATGTGGGTTCTGCTGCTGTGTGTTGAATATGAATTTGTTGTTTTAAAGTTAGTGGCTCAGAAATATTACAAAACAATTAAGGAAGGTCTTGATCGGTCACCAGTCTCATTTCATATGTTAGCTTTGTCAGAAATAATCCATTAATCTTGACTATTAAATGATGTTTTTAAATTGAAAACATGAATTATCAGACCTGACACAAAAGACTAATAGTAATCTCAGATACGAAAGACAAAAGCCTGATACACAAATCATCATTATGACTGTTGAAACGAGACAGGAAATCTTGAAAACATTTTACCGACTGAGCTCAAATATTTAGCAAATGGTTGCAGAGAAATCTGTTGTGATCTTTTCAGTTGTGTGAAATGTATTTGTTTCTGATGAAGGCTTGTTGGCAGTGTTGTCACACTTTCTGATTCCATGAAACTAAACAAGGTTATTACAGATTTCAGTTTTTCTTTCATTTCAGTCTTTCCACACAATTGAGCACTGTCTACGACTCAGGACTGGTTTTTTTTTTTGGTATACTTCTCGTCATTGCTCTGTTTATTGTTATATATCTAATTTTTTTAACAATGCATCTAAATTTTGGAAAGATTTCCCGGAATCAAAATTGTCATTTCAGTTTTGCTGAGTTGTCTGCACTTGGTAACACTTTTGAAATGTAAATGACAGCTTCTGCTGGTTAAAGTAACCGCCTGTTTGGCATGACTCCTGGCATGTATGTATCAGGACTGTGCCTTCTGTGTTCTTTACACACCCCGAACAGGTGGTTTGTTGAACCTTCTAAATGTTTAGTGCAGTCATAACCTTTGTTAATTCAGTCCAAACTAACAAGAGAGTGTATATAATCACAAAGAAGTTGTTTTTAATGGAAAGTGAACAGCAGCGAAAGTATTACTCAAGTATTATCTGGCATGATAATTGTAGAGGACAAAAGTAGAGATAAGACGACTCTAGAAAACATCAGTATTTGATGCTACAGTCCGGAGAGACTAACCCGACAACAAATGGCTGTAAACGTCAAATGTGTCGGCTGAAAGGTGCAAGTATTGCGGCCATGTTGAGCATGGGCATTTGTTTCTGATGAAGCTTGTTGGCTGTGTCTTCACACTTTCTGAAGATGTACGTATTACCTGTAGTCTGCTAACATTTGAGTCAATCCACACAATCTCGCACTGTCTACGACTCAGGCCTGTTATCTTTATTTTTTTGTTGATGGGCCTTCTCCTGTACTTTGTTATATTGGTATTATTATTAATTGTCTCCACGGCTCCACAAGAAAATGTACACATGAATCAAAATTTTCATTTCCTAGCCCTGAGTTGTTAGCGCATCCCACATCTGTTATACAGCCCACATCTGTTGTACAGCCCACATCTGTTGTACAACCCACGTTTGTTGTACAGACTCCTGGCATGTATGTATCAGGACAGCCCACTTCTGTTATACAGCCCACAACTCACATCTGGTATACTTGAACCTTCTAAATGTTTAGTACATCCTAACATCTGTTTATGCAGTCCCACTATCAGTTTGTATAGCCTACATCAGTTTACAGCCCACATCAGTTATACAGCCACGAAAGTTATACAGCTCACATATTATACAGCCCACGTCTGTATACAGCCCACGTCTGTTATACAGCCCACATCTGTTATACAGCCCACATCTGTTATACAGCCCACATCTGTTATACCGACAACAAATCTGTTATACAGCCCAAATCTGTTATCAGCCCACAAGGTGTTATACAGCCCACATCTTTTATACATGCCCACATCTGTTATACAGCCCACATCTGTTATACAGCCCACATCTGTTATACAGCCACATCTGTTATACAGCCCACGTCTGTTATACATGCCACGTCTGTTATCTACATCCCACGTGATAATACAGCCCACATCTGTTATACAGCCCACTTCTGTGGTTTCAGAAATCGTCTGTTATACAGCCCACATCTGTTATGTGGCCCACGTCTGTTATACAGCCCACTGTTGTTATGATGGGCCACGTCTGTTATACAGCCCACGTTTGTTATACAGCCCACGTCTGTTATACAGCCCCATCTGTTATACACAAGAATCTGTTATACATGAACATCTATTGTTTTACAGCCCACATCTATTGTTTTACAGCCCACATCTGTTGTTTTACAGCCCACATCTGTTGTTTTACAGCCCACATCTGTTGTTTTACAGCCCACATTTATTGTTATACAGACCACATCTGTTGTTTTACAGCCCACATCTGTTGTTTTACAGCCCATATCTGTTGTTATACAGCCCACATCTGTTATACAGCCCACATCTGTTATACAGCCCACATCTGTTATGCATCCCACATCAGTTATACAGCCCACATCTGTTATACAGCCCACATCAGTTATACAGCCCACATCAGTTATACAGCCCACATCTGTTATACAGCCCACATCTGTTATACAGGCTATGTCTGTTATACAGCCCACGTCTGTTATACAGCCCACATCTGTTATACAGCCCACATCTGTTATACAGCCTACATCTATTGTTTTACAGCCCACATCTGTTGTTTTACAGCCCACATCTGTTGTTTTACAGCCCACATCTGTTGTTTTACAGCCTACATTTATTGTTATACAGACCACATCTGTTGTTTTACAGCCCATATCTGTTGTTATACAGCCCACATCTGTAATACTTTGTTATGTCAGTTGCTAACAGTAGTCACTTGTTGACTGTCTAGTGCAATATGTATCTTAGTCACCTGTTTGTTGTGCCTTGCTGGCCGCTGGTGCCCTGTGCTTATATTTTTTTTTTTTTTTTAACATTAAGATTGTACACAACAATAGTTGTTGATATATCTGATAGTAGCTATTGCTTATGTATCTTAGCACATCCAGTTTCTTTATTTCTTATTGTCAGTTTTGAAAAATAAATGTGTAATGGGTGCTTTAAATGCATATTTTGAAGTGACAAAGATGGAATGCTATTTGTGTTGTTATGAACACGTGATGTTTATGTTGTTGTAAACACCTGATGTTTGTGTTGTTGTGCACACCTGATGTTTGTGTAGTTGTGCACACCTGATGTTTGTGTTGTTGTGCACACCTGATGTTTGTGTTGTAGTAACCACCTGATGTTTGTGTTGTTGTGCACACCTGATGTTTGTGTTGCTGTGCACACCTGATGTTTGTGTTGTTGTGCACACCTGATGTTTGTGTTGTTGTGCACACCTGATGTTTGTGTTGTTGTGCACACCTGATGTTTGTGTTGTTGTGCACACCTGATATTTATGTTGTTGTGCACACCTGATGTTTGTGTTGTTGTGCACACCTGATGTTTGTGTTGTTGTGCACACCTGATGTTTGTGTTGTTGTTAACACCTGGTGTTGGTGTTGTAATGAACACCTGATGTTTGTGTTGTTGTGCACACCTGATGTTTGTGTTGTTGTAAACACCTGATGTTTGTGTTGTAAACACCGGATGTTTGTGTTGTTGTTAACACCTGGTGTTGGTGTTGTAATGAACACCTGATGTTTGTGTTGTTGTACACACCTGATGTTTGTGTTGTTGTAAACACCTAATGTTTGTGTTGTTGTGCACACCTGATGTTTGTGTTGTTGTAAACACCTGATGTTTGTGTTGTAAACACCGGATGTTTGTGTTGTTGTTAACACCGGATGTTTGTGTTGTTGTTAACACCTGGTGTTGGTGTTGTAATGAACACCTGATGTTTGTGTTGTTGTACACACCTGATGTTTGTGTTGTTGTACACACCTGATGTTTGTGTTGTTGTAAACACCTGATGTTTGTGTGATGTAAACACCTGCTGTTTGTTTTGTTGTAAACACCTGATGTTTATGTTGTTGTAAACACCTGATGTTTATGTTGTTGTAAACACCTGATGTTTGTATTGTTGTGAACACCTGATGTTTATGTTGTTGTAAACACCTGATGTTTATGTTGCTGTAAACACCTGATGTTTATGTTGTTGTAAACACCTGGTGTTTGTGTTGTTGTAAACACCTGATGTTTGTGTGATGTTAACACCTGATGTTTGTGTTGTTGTAAACACCCGATGTTTGTGTTGATGTAAACACCTGATTTTTGTGTTGTTGTGAACACCTGATGTTTATGTTGTTGTAAACACCTGATGTTTGTGTTGTTGTAAACACCTGATGTTTGTGTTGTTGTAAACACCTGATGTTTTGTGTTGTTGTAAACACCTGATGTTTGTGTTGTTAAAAACACCTGGTGTTTGTGTGATATGAACACCTGATGTTTGTGTGATGTAAACACCTGATGTTTGTGTTGTTGTAAACACCTGCTGTTTGTGTGATGTTAACACCTGATGTTTGTGTGATGTAAACACCTGATGTCTGTGTTGTTGTAAACACCTGCAGTTTGTGTGATGTAAACACCTGATGTTTATGTTGTTGTAACCACCTGATGTTTATGTTGTTGTAAACACCTGATGTCTATGTTGTTGTGAACACCTGATGTTTATGTGATGTGAAGGCTCTTCTACCTCTGATATAGAACTTGTGGGGAATTAGACATTTTGTGACAATTCAAGTTTGATATTTGCTTTGGCTTGATTAGCTGTTCACTGTGATGAGGCCC